CAAAGTAGATAAGGTAAAGACCGACACAGGATCCAGAAGCTTTTCCTATAGAACGGTTCGCCAACGATGCAATAACTCAAATGATGTGTTGTGCGCCTCTGATTTACGTATGTGTCTTATAGTATGAGCATGCAAATGCATTGTTAGAAGTTCTGCCCATTCGGTTGTACTCCCCAGTACTCCAAAAGTGCTCGCGCCAGTGCTAACTTTGTGGCTTTTCACTTGGAAAACTTTTACTTGTGCATTGTCCCTGTTGTTTTTTCTCGATGCAGAGTGGGGTGTCCAGCTTTTTCATATGCACCGGCTTCCTTCCTAAAGTGAAGCTTTGAACAGACCTTTGCCATCACTGGCTGAGTGAGTACGTTTTGGTTGCCGAGTGAGCACAACCTTGACATAACACAGAATTTTCGTGAGGAAAGCACTGCACACGAGAGTTCTAGCTGTGCATCATACAAAACAGGAGCAAATGAATGGACTTATGGTCATTAGTTTTACATTGTGGGCAGCATTTTTGTGGCTCGAATTATTCCTACTTGCACATATGAGTACAATAGGCCACCTGACTAAAACCGTGGTCTGCCATATTTACGTTCACAATCCTCACAATTAGCATTTCTTTCTTCTCACCACAACAACGTTGCAAAATTGTTTTGTTAGCGCCAAGAGGATGGCGGGTAGAGCTTGTCCTTCGAACTCATGCGGTTCCACCCAAAGTGTAATGGGGTTTCCATATAGGTACTACTATTAGCACTCTGCATTTTTTCCTACGCGTTTTACTGAGAGAGGTTCGTAAACGTGGCAGATCAGCTTTTATAGAAGAACAACCAGACTTAGTGTCAGGCTCCTCTCACCGTACCACTACATGCATGTCTTCGTTCCGTGCTCAGAATCAGCCGATGCGAGATATTAATCTAACATTTTGATGAAAGTGTGTACACTAGTCGAGCAAAGAGGAATCAGATGTGTTTAGTGACTGTCCTAAGAAACAGGGTGCCCCCTGAGTTGTTCCAACTACGTTCTCGATCCAAACTCTCAATAAGCAGCTTCGCCACGTAGAGCCAACCTTCAGAGCATTATGAACTTTTAATTTATAAGTAGCTGTTACTTATACAAATAAAGTAAGCTTTGCAGTTAATGTGCGAGTAGAAGTTATTCATACAAGTAAAGTTAGCTGTACATAAGAAGCTCAAATTGTTTCACACGTGGTTCCGGACATGCGGTTCCGGGGGTTTGGAGTTCGGCAGGGACATTGATGCTGCCAACCGAAATATACACTCGTCGAAGAGCAAGTTCTTCCTCTTAATTGGATCACTGAAAAACATATGGGCGATGATTTGTATTGTTTGTTTCCGCGATTTCAATGAGTAGAGACAATAAAACGCCGACAGGCCAGAACACTTTGTAATAAGGTCGAGCTCAGTACGGTCACTACACCAGTCTTTTGATACGTCAGAGTACGCGACTGGCTTCACGGGGTAGCAAGCCGACACTTTTTATGTAAAAACAACAAACACTAACAACCAGAATGAGAAAAGCACTCCCTTAACGTGCGACACAGGGATGAAGCCTGGGGTTAGTTGTGTTGACAGCGTCTTATTAAGCTGCAGCACAACGCTGAAAAACGAACTTGAACCATTGTTTATACTCCTTTTTTTGCCATCAAAATAGTTTTCTGGGGCCTTCGCTGGAATTTGTGCTCGGCGTTGGCCTCCCGAGCGGCGCAATGTTGCTTTTGCGATTTTGGCACGGAGAACGCTCTCGGTAGCCGGTTTCAGAGGCAAAATCCTCCAAAATCCCGATTTTTATTTCTTGAAAGCACACTTTTAGCGCAGGTTGAGGGACATTCCAGTACTACGAGGCCTGGCGTTGTCCAGAACCGACCCGGGTGTTGTTGCCTCTGCAGTTACAGTGTGGTGTGCACAGCTTACCGCGCCCCTTCATGGTTTTCGCACCTCGCTACACAGGTGCGCACATATTCATCAGCGATAAAGGCATTCAAAAAAAGCCTTGAATGCATAGTTATTCATGTTCCCCTGCTTTTCAGCCTCCCCAAGCCCTTCGGTATCTGTTGTATCGCGTTTTCCCGCATACTGTATAATGCTAGCCCCTTTCCCTGAATTTCCAGTAGAACACCCTAAACTAATCATGCAGCAAGGGCCAGATTTCTCTAGCTATGGCCTTTCTATTCATATTTCATATGTAGAATAGTAAACGTTACCACCGTGGGAGGCTATACGGGCGCAACGTTGTAGTGCTGCACACTATATAGAGAGTTCCAGCCATTCCGCCTAGTCCCCGCAGTTTCGGTCGAATATATTCACATCATAATCCACCAGCAGATAGGCCTCTTAAACGGCGGTTGACGGATATAACAAGACATGGACGCAAGCACCACAGCTTTGCCAACTAGCAGGCAATTCCCGCTGACCGACAGAAGACGCTTGCGCCCTCAAGCTCCGCTTTGCCCAACCGTGCCAGCCTTCTCACTTCCTGAAGTAGCCATTCCAAGTAAGCTCTGTCGTTGAAGATTTCAGGAGTCCGTCACCGAACCTTTCAAAGGTTAAGAGGAGCTAGGATGATGGGCCCTCCTCTCGACCGTTCCCCTGTACTCTAGAACCTAATGAATTGCAAGGTTTCCCTCACATATCTCGTCGCCGTTGAAAACCTCTCCCCGCACTTTTGTTGATGCTTGAAAGCCTGACTGTAGGCGGCATGAGATTCAACATCAGCGTCTATGATATGAGCTGTCGGTTATGTGGCAGCTGCAGACGGCGAGGCATACGACTCAAACTCTGACGCTTAGCAGTTCTGAAAATTGGTGCATCAGATAGCTGGGTATCTTCTCACCCCCGCAGTGGCTATGGAGGCCACTCGGAGGACGTGACCTGCCGAGTGCTCCGGGCGCACATGCACTTGTATTCAGCATTGTAGAAAGCTGCGCGATTCCTTGAAACTCGTTGGCACGGAAAATTTCAAGGGGTGCCTGTAGCCTTCTAGGGTAAGGAATGTCGGACGAGTAATAATGCGGACACCAACGCAGCATTCTACGTTATGTATCGGGAGCGATAGCGAATATCAGTTGCAAAACTTGCTATGCAAGGGCGTGAAAACAGCAGTTAACGCAATAATTCTTTCTTGTATTTTCCGGAGTCCGTCTCAGTGAAAGATATATCGCTTTTCCTTGCAGACAGGCGCTAGCTGGGATCGCAGCGATGGACAAGGC